ACGCAGACTTTTGTTCCTCCATGTTACGTTGTTATTGTTTCACTGAGCGGACCCGCAAATATTTTTCAAACGCTCCCCTTTTTGGTCCATCTGCGCGGTTTTGTGCGCTGTGATGATTCGGCTGTACCTTTAGTAATGAATATTAAATGTTGTGAGGAAATCTTTCCACCAATAATTCCAATAAGTAATCCAAAATGTATTCACTTCAGGTTTACGAAAGTAACTGTAATCAGATTACTCGTTTTTCAAATGTAACGCGAGCTGAATACAGTTACTTGATTTTTGTATTCTGATTACGTAACACCGTTACATGTATTCCGTTACAACCCAACCCTGGCCACACCCCACTGGGCTGGGCTGGCCACTTTAGGTAAGCAAAAAAAAAAGGGAGTGGCGGGAACACTTACAAATGTGGGCCGGTAGGATTTAGGTAAGCAAAAAAAAAAAAGGGAGTGGCCGGAACACTTACAAATGTGGGCCGGTAGGATTTAGGCAAAAAAACTTTTAAACTTTTTTTTTTTTTTTTTGGCCCTCCGACCCACACACAGCACCGGCCCACCGGGGAAACTCCCGGTATTCCCAATGGCCAGTCCGCCCCTGGTTGTGACGCTCCTAGGCTCCTTCAGCTTCATAAAAGGACGCAAATAGCTTTCAACTGATTGCAATGTATTCCTATCTGCGGCGGGATTTGACGCTCATGGAAGTACGGCATTCGTTTGTGTCGGCTGCCCTTAAAGGCAATGTGAGCGTCCATTCTCATTGGATAACGGATAATTGTACACCCGGAAGTAAGTATTCCCCTTACTGTCGATTGATTTTACAGTGATATCTGCACTACTCATCGACTAAAAACACCAGATTATCCTTGTTAATTACACAACATTGATTGGTTTAAATTGTGTGCAATGCTTTTGTATTTTTCCCCTTCGATTCGGAGAAACAAATGTTTTTTCGGAGTAAAGGATGGCAGAAGACACTACACTACCCAGAATCCCCAGCTATCGTTTGGACTACACCATGTGCTCTGTTTGACAAACCCTGTGATAGTCCTCAAGCTCTGTGATTGGAGAGTGTGCTCCGAGGGTTACGCCGAGCCTCGAACAGCACTTGAAATGGGATGGAACCATGGCAGACTGTCCAAAAAACTGGATTTGAACGGGTCCACCGCGTCCCCCCCTCCCCCACCCCAGAACTACACATGCTGGCTATTCTGTTGCGCAACATGTTCTCTATCTATGGCACGTCTCTACTGGGAGTTGTAGTTTTAAAAGACGTTTTCGTATTTCCCATAATAAGAAGTTGCCAGTATTAAACTGTATACATCCCTGGAGGTTTAGGGGATAGGAAACACTCAAATTTAAAACATATAATTAATAAATGGGTGAAAATTGCTTGTGCCCATAATGGGCAGCATTATACACACATGCCAGTTAAGGTCAGAAGAGCTTTATTTAACAGCTGGTCTTATGTTTGTGACCCCTGTTGTTAATTGATAACATTACATTACATTACTTGATAAGCCTGAAATATGCACTTGTCAAGGTTCAGAGGCAAATTTTGCAAATATGGCAGTATTCATCGACCATCTTAAGATAAGATATAGGCTACTTTATTGATCCCAAGTTGGAACATTTGCGTTACATCAGCATGTGTAACAGTTGTAAATATGCAGTGGTGTTTATTTGTAAATCATTTAGTATAATCACACAAATTCTGTGTTTTATATTTAACAATTCTGTGTTCTTTATTTATTGATTGTTCAATACCTGACAAGGCCGGAGATTAAATATCTAGATACATCTTATAAGAGTATAATACATATGTATAATATCAGTTAAAATAAGTGCTTCAACATAGTTAACATTGCTGGAGGTATGCACAAATATTGATAGATGTCTTGTAATGCACTATTGAGGAACCTGCGACCCAAGTTTTTCATTCAATGCATAACTACACCATAGTTGTGTAGGCCTATATGATATGTTAATAAACCTTAGAAAATCTTGAAAGGGATGTGCAAAATATTCATTATATACAGTCTTTAATTAACTATTAGTAGAGAATAACGAGTAATGAATATACTTTATAGGGATCCTATTAATATCTAATAATAAAAATAATGAAATTCAATAACATGCTTTAACCACTAGGTGTCCCTTTATATCAGCTGTGCACCTTTATGGTGTAAATACAGCCTATCTACCAATTGGATCAAATATAAAAGTCAGCCGAATTAGTGTTGATACTGCAAGGAGACGTATTGTGTGAAAAGAAATGTAAGATGTTGTTTAACTGCTGATATATTTATGATCCACGTCACGTTTTCAGTTCCTCATGTTTGTCTAGAAGTCTTCTCATCAGGGCTCTATAAATACAGAACTACGGCAGATATGTAATATTTAATGCAGCCGAACCGTGTATTACAATGCCGTTACGTGATGACTTTCAAATAGAAAAGCAAGCACACTCGGAATAAAGTATTATTATTTTACTTTTTTTATATTTTCGGTCTGTTTCCGGTATTTGTTAATGACGATGTGCTGTGAGATGTGAGACTGAAATTGCACAGGGGAAAATAACGTAGGCTATCTTTAGATGCGGATTTTGTTAAACTAATATGTTTGCGCTGTGGACCAACACTATACATTGACGGGGAAGGGGGTAGCAATAAAGATAACACCATTAAACAGTTACACAACATAACAGAAATAATATCGATAGCAGCGTCCCTAGCAACCACCTTGATAACAATGAAAACGTTATATGGACGCAATTTCCTGAAGTAATCTTCGTAATAACTAGCAAACTAAAGATCATGTACATCCACTGCACACATAATCTGAAATAACAACTCATATTTCTCGCATTAAATGACATCAAAACGCATTTTAATGGCCAAACTAACTTTAAAATAGGCATTTTCCACCGAGAATAAAACAAAGTTCGGCCATGTTTTTTTTTTCTGCAAGGAGAAATGTGAAGATCACGTGACATAGACGCCAGCCATTGGAATGAATGGTGAAAAAAAACAGGGTTTGTCAAACAGAGCACATGGTGTAGTCCAAACGATAGCTGGGGATTCTGGGTAGTGTAGTGTTTTCTGCCATCCTTTACTCCGAAAAAATATTTGTTTCTCCGAATCAAAGGGGAAAAATACAAAAGCATTGCACACAATTTAAACCAATCAATGTTGTGTAATTAACAAGGATAATCTGGTGTTTTTTAGTCGATGAGTAGTGCAGATATCACTGTCAAATCAATCGACAGTAAGGGGAATACTTACTTCCGGGTGTACAATTCTCCGTTATCCAATGAGAATGGACGCTCACATTACATTTAAGGGCAGCTGACACAAACGAATGCCGTGCTTCCATGAGCGTTAAATCCCGCCGCAGATGGGAATACATTGCAATCAGTTGAAAGCTATTTGCGTCCCTTTATGAAGCTGAAGGAGCCTAGGAGCGTCACAACTGCACGCCACGGACACTGACCAAACGTCGCTCCTGGACGATTATGGAGTGAGAGTGTGTTGCTTCATCCTGTTTTTATTTAGTCAAGTTTTAGTCAACTAAAAGTCTGAGCATTTTAGTGTTATTTTAGTCGACTAAAACAGTAACTATTTTAGTCAAGATTTAGTCGACTAAAAGTCTGAGCATTTTAGTCATAGAAAACTAATTATTTTAGTCTACTTTTTGTCAATGAAAACTGTTGAGTCTTTTTTAGTCATCAGATTATATAGAACATTTCAGTCAAACAAGTCTAGCCAAAACCAATAATTTGTCATTTTAGTATATATAAATAAAGATTATATCTTGTCCTTATTTGATGAAAAACACAGGTTGAATGATTAAGAATGCAGCTTTGCAGAGAGTATCTGGACGACTAAGGTACGTTTTAACCGTTTGTTTTTTCGTTCTAATTGAAACAAAAGAAAAAGCAGAAACGGGTCGTTTTTTTGTTTTTCAATTTTGCCCCAAAACGAAAAAACAGAAATTCAGCTCGTTTTTTCGTTTTTCTGTTCTTACTGTTAAAACAAGTATACCACTCAATGTTTCGTTTCCATAAGTGGGTGTGTCTCCAGCACCTCCTTGCTTCTGATTGGCTAGTGTGCCCTATGCTTGCGCTGTACTCTTCAAAATAAAGGTTCTACGTCTTTGCCTTTAGACTGCGTTACAAATATACGTATATTATTATATTCATACATACAAGTACAGAAGACAGTCTGTCCGTATGTCTGTCTTTCTATGTATATGTCTATCTCGATGTCTTTCTATCTCGATGTCTGTCTGTCTGTCTTTCTGTAAATATATTTTAGAGTTTAAAGCGTAGCCACTTTTACTCCACTACATGTATTTATAACCTTTAGTAACTTTACAGATTTGGATTAATTATGTGTATATATATATATAATCAAGTGTTAAATCAGACTTTAGTTCCACCTGGAGTACATTCACAAGCTACCCTGCAGTATACAAAGTCATTCAAACTAGCTGCACCTTTACCAGCTTTGAGAACACTTTAATGATCAATCATTATAAAACACATCATATATATTATTCTGAAATGGACCAATCTGCACAATGACTACTTTTACTGTCACTATATTTTGATGAAAATACTTTTCTACTTTTACTTGAGGAACATTTTGAATGCTGGACTTTTACTGTAACAGAGTATTCCTACTCTTTCCTACACTCTGGTACTTTTACTCAAGAACAATATCTGATTACTTCTACTTTTACTCAAGTACAAGATCTGAGTACTTTTACTTTTACTCAAGTACAAGATCTGATTACTTCGACAACCTCTGATTAATGGTTGATTTCCAAATGTTCTGTTGGTGCGTGGATGATAAAATAATAGTGTTTGATTGTATTGCCTTACGTGCAGCTATTTGCCTGTGTTTAGAAACATAATTAAACATACCATGGACACACATTCAAACAATTTTCCATTTATTAAACATTGCAGATGAACAATTAACAAGTCATACAGCTAAAGAAAACTACAACAATCATTTTCTGTATGATGATATCATGGAACCTGGAATTTGAACACACACCACTTAACAATAAACAATAAACGACTGAACTGCTGTCCACTTTAGGGTAGGGCCCTTAAAGCATCCAGTGCTGCAGACAGTCCAGCAACCTGGGTATACACTGGCTCCTGATCCCTGCACTTAAGGCATTGGGGAGATGTTATCCTCCACACAGAGCCTGCATCCCACGATGCTTTGGCAGCAGGAGGAAAACATGGGTCCAGTCATTGTGTCTTTAAAAACAACAAAGACAGGTTTTTAAAGATATGCTGATAGTTACTGATTGATGTAATGGACTGTATTTCTGAAGCATGCACTGAAACTGAGAAAGATACTGTTCAGAAATAGATTTGAAAAGATTAACTTAGAATAATATGAAAATCCGGCACCTATACGTTTTATTTTTTAAATACTGTTTGTTACACTGAGCATTATTCAAAGAGAGGATGAAAACAATACCTCTGCAGATCAAACAGCTGCCTGTTTGACTTCTGGCCTTGGTACTACCAAGTCCTGGCTGGCTGTCACTCTGTCAGAAATCTTCCTGGTGACTTCTTCCAGGCCTTGGGATGCATCCAGCAGTTCCTCCACCTTGTTGCTCAGTGTGTGGACTTCAGATAGCTCATTTCTGATTTTGTCACATTTTGAAAATAGTTTAAGTATTAGCAGTCATTTAAGATGTTTTCTTCATTTTATTAGAGATAAAAGAAAGTTATCTATTCCATGGCAAATTAGATGATGCTAAATAAACAAGAGCATGTGGAAACATTTCATTTCTTGAAATTACATTTAAAGGATATTGTTTATAAATGCTGATTGTAGAACGGATGTTGACTGTGACTCTTCATACCATGTGCTGACCCACAGAGTACTGAGGTGTGCTACAGTGAAGCCCATGCTTATGCATGTCTGCCCCAGATGGCAAACTTATATAGCCCTTGAGCTGCAAAAATAATAAATGGCCAGAAAGCAGCCTTTTTCAAATAATGAGAGGGTTTTGCCAGTCTGTTGTTAGCGAGTCAAATAAAGTGAAATGCTGCATATTGTGACCCTTCAGTTTGAGTGCTAGCCCTTCTTTACACATTAAATTATTTCCCCTATTGATAGACCAGTTCAAACCTTCTCCAGACAAAATCAGTTTTGTTATCCAACCACACCTGCTTCTTGAGCCTCTTCGACGCCATTGCCTGAAAGCAGAGCTCTCAACAGCATGGATCTTTCTTGCATTCGGCTTCCAGTACAAAGACCCTTTATGAGAGAAATAAAGAGTAAAGACACGTGAAAATAAAATGTTAAAAGGGGCACATTGTTGTACTGATAGCACTTTCAGACCCTTATCTTTTGCACAAATGAAAATGAAATATAGAATAATTATATTTACCAATTGTCCCTTCAGACTCAACGATTTCATTCCCAACGGTGTCTGTAAGGATGTACTCCTCACTGTCTCCCATGGCCACATTCACTTTTCCTGTGATCAGTGGAACGCTTGCCTCTGATTCAACAAATCTGATCATGACCACCCTTGTGGAAACAATCTTTCCATCCATTATTTCTGACACATGTATTGACCTGTAATGCAAAAAGAACAGTGACACACATTTAGTTAGCAACATGGACTAAAACACAACATTCTAAAGCATGCCAACGTATGAAATGGGCATCTCATTACCTTTGAAATGACCAAGGGGTGCTAATTGATCTAGTCAACTGACTCATGTTTGCAGTAGACATTGGCTGGCTGACTATGACGAAAAGCAAACGGCCGTGACTCAGCTGGCTCTGTCTGGATCCTTTGAGTCTCCCCAGGTTTTCCCCCATGAACCTCATAATGGCCGTGATCAGAGAGGTCCAGGGAGCAGAAACACCCACTATACCCCACCCCCCGTCGACTTTCCTGAAGTACTCCCCCGTTGATAGAAATCAACACGTAATGAATTAAGACCCCACGGTTTGATGATTGATAGGTGTGTGGGCTGTCTTTCATTTTGACACGCAGAACATTTTTATAATAAACATAGATACTGTAGGCTATGTTAAATGGATATATCCGCCTTCTTTCATTTATCTTTCCATTCCCACAACAATATACATAAAGAAATGGCATATTTTGGACATAGTTCGAATGGTGATTAATCATGATTAATTAATTTTTAAACTGTGATTAATCTGATTAAAATTTGTAATCGTTTGACAGCCCTAATATAAATATATGTGTGTGTATATGTCCGCATCTGTAGCCTGTTATTGTCTCATTATACCGCACTGTCAATGAATTAAAAGTAAATATATAAGTCGTCATGAACACATCTGTCCATCAGACAGAGGGCTGCTGTGCCTCCTGTCATCATTGATAGACGTCTCTTTAAAATGACCGCTGTTATCTGTGTTGGTTATTCTCGCGTCCAGGAGAGAAGCTTAAAAAGGAGACTAAATGGAGTCTGTGAGATTGTTTCAAATTGGTACTTTAATTAAAAATAAAGGCGCGGTTATGTTCACAAACACAATATTGTTCTACAGAAAAGCAGCTGTGTCTCTGGCTCTGGCAGGTGAAGAAAGAGGCCGAACCCCTCAGGTCTCGCTATTTATATATCCTCTGCTGGCTCCTCCCTGCGGGCCGGCTCTCCAATGTTTTAATGTCCGTTGTTACGCATATCAGAGGATACAGACATTGTACATTCATATATCTAAACACGCCTTTTCTCCTCCTCAACTCTTTCATGACTTTTCACTTAACACATTCTAAACGCTGTAATCAATACTCCAAAAATACGTCACAGCAGTTTGGTTCCGGTCGTTCCGAATGTTGTCACATGCTACCCACATCTGTAAACAATAACGTACTTAAATAAACTGTACCTTCATTTAATATTCAACAATAATAATATCTCAACGTCTATAGTTGTAGTGTTGAAATCAGTAGGTTTCGGTGTGCAACATCATATCATATCGCTGCTAAATTCACCTCTATAGTAAATGGTATATTAGCCTCATGCTAACCGGAGATGAAGGATTTTCAGAATAAAAGCTTAACAACTGGTTGTGCACAAGAACTTCTGGTTTTTCAGTATAAAACAGCATTTAAACTGACGGTATGTTTAAGGTGCATTATGCTATCAAAACATTGATTTTAATTTCTAACACCGCCCAGAGGAGAGGAGTTCTCATTTTCCTAACCGTCTGCTGCTTCGCCTCCTCTCTGCTCCCCTCCTCAGTCCTCCGCTCGCATCTCCTGTGGGCGGGACTAAGTATTGAGGATAGGAGTCGAGGAAAGGATTCGAGGAGGGGAAATTAGAGTATTGAGAAACCTCTCCTGACTATCATCTTCTTCTTTAGTGTTTATTGGCGGTTGGCAAACCAACTTGTAGGTGCATTACCACCACCAACTGGACTGGAGTGTGGACAAGAGACTATGCAGAAAACAATAAACAAAAGAAACAAAACAAAGAACCAAAACTCTAGATTATTTTAAATGTATCAATTTCTCTTAGAAATGTAATAATCTCACAATATATATTGCCTGATGTTTTCCCTAACAGCCCTGATAGCGACAAGTCATGGAATTTTGCTTTCTTCAGTGTCTGGAAAAGCACATTTCTCTGAGTACTATTCTGCAAAGCAATAAAACATGCTCAACAGTTTCTGGCTAGCTACAGTGTATACACTTTCCGGTTGGATGCTTTCCTATTAGACTTAATGTATGATTGAGACCTGTATGACCTATTCTCATCCGAGAAATGACATTTTCCTCCCTTCTTTTAAACCCTACCTTCCTTCCATCCCCCACATACCTTTGCATTTTATAAAGATGTCTTCCTGTATCACTAAGGTCCCAATGTTCTTGCCATGTTGTTTGTGCATATTTCTGAATGAATGTTTTAACCTCCGCTTTGCTGAGTGGAACTTCTATGTATATGTTCATACACTGAACAAACATATAAACGCAACACTTTTGTTTTTGCTCCCATTTTTCATGAGATGAACTCAAAGATCTAAAACATTTTCTATATACACAAAATAACCATTTCTCTCAAATATTGTTCACAAATCTGAAAAAATCTGTGATAGTGAGCACTTCTCCTTTGCCGAGATAATCCATCCCACCTCACAGGTGTGGCATATCAAGATGCTGATTAGACAGCATGATTATTGCACAGGTGTGCCTTAGGCTGGCCTTAACTTAAAAAAAACGTAAAACTTAAAATAATACAGCCGCTGAGGCACTAGTTAGCAGATCTTACGCAGGGCAATGATCCAGGTCCAGACAAGATTCTCCATTTGTGCAGTTTATTCCGATAACAAAGTACAACGAACAGGTTTCCTATATCCCTTTTCCTTAAGCCTTTCCTATGGCTTTCCTTTTGCTGGCTTGAAACACCCTAATAAAAAACCGTTTGCCTACTAGTGCTCTGGCTCCCACCTGTCTCCAATTACACCAAGTGCTCTAATCACCCAGTGCCCAAAACATGCCTTCAAAATAAAAGCATAGAAACTACTTTAACTCATGAAGTCAACTAAGAATACATATAAATAAATAATAATAATAAACACTATAAACAGCAAGAAAATAAATGTTAAACTATTAAATAATATAAAGAGATATAGCTCCAACACAGGTCTCATGAGTGCCCAATATATATTCAGAAGTGATGACCGACTCGCTCCCCACTCCTACATTTATTTTGAACTTTTCCTATATGATTGCTCCATATTAACTTTCCGTCAAACCAAACACCAAGAAATCTTATTGTATTAACCTGTTCAAGAGGTTGCTCATACAATGTTAACGATATAGGAGCAATGTTATGCCGTTTTGATAAACAAATGACCTGCGTCTTAGTTACTGACAGTTTGAATCCCCATTTATTTGTCCATTTCTCCACTTCAACTATTGCAGCTTGTATTTTCTTTCCAACATGTGCTACATTGCGGCCTTTGGCCCACAAAGCCCCATCATCTGCATACAAAGATGTTCCCACACTTGGATGAACTTGATTAAAAATGTCATGTATCATTATATTGAACAGCAACGGACTACATACACTACCTTGCGGAGTACCATTTTCCACAGCATAAACACTTGAATATTCTGCACCTACTCTTACTTGTATTTTCCTGTCCAGTAAAAAATTCATAACCCAATTATATGCTTTACCACCAATTCCAAATGATTTGAACTTGATTAGTAGTCCTTCCTCCCAGAGCATGTCATAAGCCTTTTCAATATCAAAGAAGACTGCAATCACTACTTTCTTGTTGGTCTGTGCTTTCCTGATGTCTGATTCTAAGCACAATATAGAATCCATTGTATTCCGACCCCTACGGAACCCACTTTGATATGGGGACAACAGAGCTTTACTTTCTAAGATATATGTTAACCTTTCTGTAACCATTCTTTCCATGATTTTGCATAAATGAGATGTCAGGGCAATAGGCCTGTAGCTAGATGGATCTGAAGGGTCTTTCCCTGGCTTTAGGATGGGCACTATTATCGCTTGTTTCCACACTGAAGGAAGTTGGCCAGATTCCCACACCCTATTAAACAACCTTAACACAATGACTAGAGTGTTATCTGTCATGTGTTCCAACATTTTGTAACAAACACCATCTTTCCCAGGAGTGGTTTGACGAGCACTAATAATTGCTCTTCTCAACTCAAACATACTAAAATGCAGGTCCAACTGATCCCCTAACACTTCTACTCTATCCAATATTCTCGGGTTTTCCATGAGTGTATTATTTCTGCACTGCCTGGCTTCCTCTGTAAGGTTATCTGAACTTTGAACTTTCCTAAATGTTTGAGCTAGAAGTTCCGCCTTTCCTAAGTTTGTGACAGCCATTATGTCCCCTCTGCTAAAAACTGGCAACTCATAATTCCTTCAAATTCCCCCCATTCTCCTAATCATGCCCCAAACATCTGCAAGCTGTACTTCTCTTCCAATACTATTGCAATATTGCCTCCAAAAAGTGCGTTTTTGCATTCTTATTGTTCTCCTTACTATAGCCTGGGCCCTTTTATACTGATTCAAAGCTTCCTGAGAATGGAGTTTTTTGAGTTGCCTGAATGCTTTATTTCTGTCTTTAATACATTATTTGCTACATTCACCATTCCACCAGGGTACACTCTTGGTACGCCTAACTTCTGCAATTTCCGGAATTGTTTCTTTAGCTGAATGAATGATAACCTTCATCCCAATTAGCCTTTCCCAATTTCCATCTATAAATTCCTCAACTACTGCACCATTTGCATCTGTGCTAAACTGACTATCAGAAATGTAACGTTATCTTTGATAATATTTCGTCTCCTCATTTTTCGTCAACGAAAGTAAAGAGAGATTTTGGCATAGTTTTTATTTAGTAAACTACATTTTCGTCTCGTCACTTTTCGTCAACGATATTGCGTGATGATTTTGTTAGTAGGCTTGTTTGAGACAAGCGAGACCTGCGCAATTGCGATCAACGTCTTGCTAGTGCGTTGCATGATGGTTAGTCATTTTGTCCGACTTGCTCTGGAGGCTCGCCTACATGAGACATTGAAATCTCGCGGTAC